TATATAAAAGACACACAAAAAAATGTTTATGCTGTCATGCATCTATACATCTGTCCTCAAATAGATCATACTTTCTTAACAATTTTGGCTTTTGAAACCCTCCTCTCCCTTGGAATTTCTGTTAACCTTCCTTGGGGTGGGTATGGATATTTTCTGGAACTGCACACTGGCCAACTGTTGGTAACTTGTCAGGAGCCTGTAAGTTATTCTGTAGATCAGCAGCCTTTGATCGACAGTCAGTTAAGCAGAGCTAATCTTCAGAATATACCTGTTCATCACATTATAACCAAAATAAACAAACAAAAACGATGCTTTCATCATCCTAGAGGACGATCCTACATGGCCATATATCTTGGCTGGAAGCCTTGTCTTTGTGCTGATTGTTTCAATTCTGGTTGGATTTTTATTGTGGCAGAGGTGAGAATAGTAAACTTTGAGACACTATACTATTTAAAGAAGTGGTAATCTCAAGACAAAGTGATAAAAGCAATCCATAATTTACGCCAAAGAGTTTTGGTAAAGGACATTAGGGCCATTTATATGAGAAAAATAAGCCATGGCCTACATACAACACGAACTGGACCATTTATGCGAGCATGGCTTATTAAAGATGCAAAGTGTTCATATAAATGGTTCGCGGCTTATTTGTGGCCTCACTTTTGTGTTGGTTGTCATAGCATTCACAGAATTGTGTGAGCTGTTCCGTAAGTGTGGGAAAAATTGTGCTTGCACAGTCTGAGTTTGCATCTTACGTAAGCTGCAAACAAGCCGTGATACCATTTATACAAGTGATTTCACATCCTATATAAGCCCCATGCTTATTTAAGCCAAGCTTGAAACACTAGTATTACACAAGTCGTGGCTTATGTTATCCATGGCTCATGTAAGACATGAACTGGCTAAAATGTACCATTTATACGGTAAGTTCGTGTCTTATGTAAGCCTTATGTAAGCCCACTTAAGTAAGCTGTGGCTTATTTTCCTTGTATAAATGGCCCTATTGTATCTGAGATTTTCCATGGGTACAGTTAACTCCTGTTAACGTAAACCCCAGGAAACCAGAATTGTGCACTAACTCGAACTAAAATTGATTCCCTTAAACTTGAACCCTCAATAACTCAAACCTCTCACTAACTGTAATGCTCAGGTCATATTCTTTAAACATGTTTGTTTTCAAGATTTAGATAAATGGAATCCCTCTCATTCTGTTATTTTGCTACATTTTGTTTAAATCCCATCAGGATTGTTGATTTGCTGTGTTCTCTAAGTATCATTCCACTTTTAGTGCTTCTCTGGAATCAACCGGATTGAAGCCAGATTGAAAGAGTATGTTCACCATTTTTGTTTGTCCCATTTATTTTATTTTCTGACAGAAAACAAGCTTTTGAGGCAGCTTTATTAGCTCAAACATGGAAAATAAAATATGAAGACATCAAATGGCCAAAGAATAAAGGAAAGTTAGGAAGTAGGAAGAGCATGGTTAGTTGAAAAACTTGCTACATCTGCATCATTCACTTAAGACACTACTTTGATTAGAAAAAAAAAGTTCAAAGTGGGAAAATCTCCCAATTAGAAAATGGGAAATGAACTTGTAAATAATTAATGGTTGTTATCAGTAAATGTTCCTTACATTTGCTGTACTAGACATGAAAAGGCCTGACTTGTAGCACATCGTTGTAACTGAAAATGTAAATTTCCAGACCTGGGGCCCGTTTCTCGAAGTCCTCGCAAAATTTTTGAGCCCAAAAAACCATTTTTAGTTAACCAGTGTTCAAAGACAAAGAAGTGTATGTGCCTAAAACTTCTTGTACGGAATGAAACCTCTGTTTTTATTAAGAATATGTGAATAAATCAGCCCTGTAGTCATAATGTTTGAGATTTTGCTATGGCTTTCTGGGTGCGAAAAATTTTTGGGACTTTCGAGAAACGGGCCCCTGATGTTTCTTTTGAATGGCTAATTTCTGTTGCATTTATAGCAATAATACACACTGACCACTTTCTCTACTGGCTTAAGTCAATGTGGGTATCACTGATTAACAGCATGTGGAGTGACCATCTATGAGTGACTCTACGTAATGTCTAAAAGAGAGTGTTAAAAATTAATTCCATTAATTTGCTTGTTTGATGTCTTTAAAATGTGACTTTCTTTATAGGTAAGCATGGCTGGAAGTGAACGTGGATCAATGGAAGAGCTACGAGGGCAAATTTTTACAGTCCTTGGGATTTATGAGGTGAATATCTTATTACACAACTATGATGCATTAAATTTATAAAACATGCAAAACCACTTAATAAATGGGCACCTGCAATAGTTAACTATCAACTGCTGACCAATGTACTATATTTTTAGGATATTTTCATTAGGTAAAACAACTTCTCTTGAAATTTATATAGGGCAACTCAGTGGCAGTTAAAAAGTTACAGAAGGCAAAAGTTGTTCTGGAACGTGATGTGTTGTTGGAGCTAAAGGAAGTAAGATTGATTGCATAAATTTTGTTTGATTATTTGCTATTTACAATACATGCATTTGTGACCAGCACCATGTAATTGACCTGAAAGGAGAAACGTCCAAAACAGTCTGTTTTGAAGTCTTTGTACAGTTAGGAGTATTCAGAAAGCAAATTCAAAGCTGTTCAAAAAAGGTTGGGGATGTAGAGAACTGCCCAGAGGCCCTTCTATTTGCTCTGAAAATGTTTTCGCCTTTTGAGCCTCACTTGTATTTTTGAGGCATAAGGGGGAGAGCAGTTGCTTCCTGGGCCTCATCTGTAGGTTTGCAACTGAATGGTACATAAACAATCTGACCAAATTGCCTCATTTTTTATGAATGCTCTAAACTGCTCAGTTGCAGCACATTGCTTACTCAAAAGAGTAAAAGCTAGTTTTACTAACAGAGAAGTAATGTATTAATCTTATTAATACATATACATGTATATTTTTGGAAGATGAAAGATCTCACCCACCAGAATATCAACACCTTTATCGGTGCTTGTGTTGAGCCTGGTAACATTTGCATCTTAAGCCAGTACTGTGCCAAAGGAAGTCTACAGGTAACATAAAATTACAGAAATATGAATTGAAGTACTGAAGTACCAGTACATTACTTATTTACATTCATGATGTGTCTCCTTTTCCAAATATATATATATAAATGTAACATAGCTGAATTGCTTAACAATTTGGGTGTGCATTCCTTACTTAGTATGATCCGTTTTGTAGGGCTCAATCTACAGAAAAGAATTATAATATCTAGCTGGAAAATTTCATAATAGGCCTATTTGCATTAAAACAAACACATCAACTTTATCTAGAGATCTCAATGTTACTTGTTTTGACACTGAAAGTAATGAAGTGGATATTGCATTACTTGACTAAAGCTACTAGGAAAAAGATGGTCTTTATCATGCTGTAACTCCGTAACAAGGACAGTGATCTCCCAACCCCAACCCACATTTTCAATTGTATTTTTTTTTTTTTGGCCTTTTGTCTTTTTTTAAGGGAAGGGGTTAGTTAATTAGTTTGCTTGTTTGTTTGTTTTTTATTTCTGACAACACTTGGCCTGATTACCTGGAAGTACAGCAAGAGTTTAAAAAAAATCTGAATGAGCATAAATGTCCTGAACTGTATTTATGATCCAATTTATGTCTCATATTTTGCAGGATGTGTTACATAATGACAGCCTGAAATTGGATTGGATGTTTCAAATGTCTATTTCATCTGACATTGCAAGAGTATGTATATCTGACTGTATAAATAATCCTCCGTAGGAAAAAAGATGGTGACTTGTACATTTACCCATAGTTCTTAGCGCACGAAAACCTTAACAATGTTCATAAAAACACACAGAAACATTATACAATCTTCAAACCTAGGCTACTTAATGTCCTTAGTACAGAGATGTATATTGTAATAATTTGGTTTTCTTCATGCCTTTTAGTCTGTGTTAGGTTTGCAAGGCCTTGTGGTAAAATGTACATCTGCCATCTTTTTTCCTACGGTGGATTGGTGTCAGTCATCTTCAGTTGTATTTCATTGCTAGCTGGAGTGTGCAATCCCTTATTTAATACAAACAATCAATCTCTTATTGTCAAAAGAATAAAAGTGCATCTGGCAGTAAAGTGGTAGTCTATTTCACACAATACTGTCAGTTTCCATTGGTAAAGGAATCTTAATACATACATGTTCACTTAGATGCCATCACTAATTGCAGTAATTTATTCATTCAAAAACAATAATCCTGAAATACTTACTTGTGATCAAAGAAAATATGTTTCAATTTCCCCCCAACAGGGCATGCACTTCTTGCAGAATAGTCCAGTTCAGATTCATGGCAACTTGAAATCTTCAAACGTACTCATTGACAGTCGCTGGACATGCAAAGTAACTGATCATGGACTGTTTCTGTTCAAAGAGGGACAAGAGGTTGATGTGGAAGCAGGAACAGAAGCCAAGTATTATGGTAACTTATAATTTTCTGAAAGTTTTATGTTGTTGACTTAATGTTAAGAGTACCATTTTTGCTTTAAGGGCGGTGCCTACTAAATACAAAGGTTTTTGCGCCAGATTAGGACCATGAGGAAAAAGTAGATCTTTGCAAGGACTATTGGAATCCACAAAGAAAAATGGGGGTAGCCACGCATTTTTTTGAGATAATTAGCCTTGAATCTCAACAAAATTATGGAACAACCCAGCCCAGGAGCTCCGCTTTTAGGCTTGCTAGATGTATTATATTTGTTTTGATTAATATTGATTCCCTTCTTTGCAGACAGCCTTTGGACAGCACCAGAACACATCTTTAATGAACAATTTCCCCGATCACAGGCTGGAGATGTCTTCAGTTATGGAATTATACTTTCCGAAATTGTAACTCGTGGTCTACCATATGGCATGTTTGAAGATCTGTCAGCTAGAAGTATGTGTTGACTTTAGTGCTTGTTACTATTCTCTCTCAAGCTATCATAATCAAAGAATGTCAAGACTTAATTGAGAGTTTGCGCTATCAGATCCAATACTAGAACTGTTACTTACAAACATTAGTCACATGTGAAGACTAGCTTACAATTCCATGAATTTTAAGAAATATATATCATCCTTTCTGACTTGCTTTTGAAATAAAGTTAGTATATTATGTTGCGTCTGTAAACTGGAAATGTGCTTTTAAGGTGGCTTACTACAGTTTTGATGGATTATAACAGCCCAACTTCTAACTCTTTTGAAAAATGTTCCAAGATGTTTCTTCTCTCTCTATTTACTGTTTATTTAAGTCTTTTATCATTCTATGTGAAACTTGAACAAACGTCAACAAATGGTCAACATAAACGACCAAGTACTTAAGGAGAGACTGGGCACTAGCAGGTTAAATCTAGTTTTTCTCAAAATCTACCCATATGACCCCACCTCAAAATTTCAGGAATAAGAAATTGGCTCTGAGTCAACTTTCATGCAAAGTAAAATAAAAATCTGTACGACAGATTTTTCGCAAACTAAGAAAATGTGAAATCAAAAATAGCTCAAAAGCTGTCTTACAGATTTTTAAAATATTTTGGCTCTAAACGTGATTCACCCCTACAAATCAACTGTGAAAATTTCATCATAGGTTGTACAGTGGGTTTTCGAGCAATCCTCAATCAAAGATTGGATTTTACAACCTTGGATGAGAATTGAATTGCGCATGCTCCAATATTTAAGCACACACTCATGTGACACCGTGTATCATGTGCGAGAAAGCAAGAGTAATTTAGAGCTCTTTTACCAGTTGTTTATCGAGTTTTTATGTCATTTTTTTGGCCCTAGGCTTAAACACATGTTAAAACGCAGTTTGAAACTATTGATACGTATACCAAATTGATTTAACGCCTTTCAAGTGCTGAAGTGGTTTTCGTTTCTTCTTAGGGTTGCTTGTGTCATTTGTGCACACGTAATTAATACTGATGTCTGGCAAGCAATCATAGCGCATGCTACTAGTCTCTGAAAAACTGTAGTGAGCCACCTTAAACGTCTTTACTGAATTGTGTGAATGTATGCTCTTTATAGGTGTTATTGGTCGAGTTCAAAAAGGAGAGACTCCATCTTTCCGTCCTCGCATTACAAAAGACATTGTAGGACACGCTCTGTATGTTGACATGATGAAACAGTGCTGGGATCAAGACCCACATGCAAGGCCCAAGTTTACAGACTGTATTAAATATCTTAAGCAGATGAACAAAGGAAAGTAAGTTGACTAAAAACCCAGTTTGTGTAAATTTATATTTCCATAATAGAGCACTCCCTATTTCATGTTGACAACATCAGAAATGCTTTTGTTGTACGTTGTATTTTCTTTTGGGGGGGGGTTCTACTAGGGACTTCAATATTATGGATACTATGATCACCATGATGGAGAAGTACACCGATCACTTGGAAGACATTGTTGCCGAGAGAACCTCAGAGCTCGCCGCTGAAAAGGCAAAGACTGATGAGCTATTGTACAGGATGTTACCAAGGTATCGAGGTTACGTTGCGTCCCGTACGGTGATAGTAAAAGAGCAAACATTCTCCTTGGTTGATTAACCTAGGTCTAAGGAACTGACCAGCCCGGCCCGCCGCTGTATTTTTTTCATTTGTTTCAGTAGAAGAATTAGCGGAATTAGCTTGCAGCGACTTACATATTTTGCAGTACAGAGTCTACATCTTACCTCACAAGAACAACATTTGCCTCGGCGATTAAGCTGAACAGATTGAATTTAGCTCCCCCAAATCACCGATGATATCTTTTCTTCATAATATTTAGACTGTGTACATACTCCTCTACAAACTTCGTTGTAAGGCGCCATCTTGCAAGGCGATATTTCAACCCAGTCCCTAATAGCCTCTTGCACGCGTTCCGTTAGACTGGTTAGTTGGGGCGCAGCGCGGAAAACAGCGCGCGAAAATATAAAAAAAGTCCGGCGCTTCCTCTCACCGCACTTTTTTTAATTGTTGTTTGCTTTTTCGCGCGCTGATTTTCACGCTGCGCCCCAACTAACTGAGCGCCTGGAAGAGGCTAAGTCCCCGAGCGACTTCGTAATACGAAAGTGCGCTAAAAAGGAAAAAAAAACCTATATATTTCAATTTCGATTGTCTTGTACAATTCTCAATTTGATTAGCGGAAATACTTGGTAGCTTTTAAATCAAGCTCAAGTTTGTTTTCCTTTCTTTCTTTCTTTTTTTTTCTCTATTTATTAATTTACTCTTTTTTCTTGTACGATCACAGATCTGTAGCAGAGGAGTTAAAGAGAGGACAGCCAGTCACTGCTGAAACCTTTGACTCCGCTTCATTATTCTTTAGTGACCTCGTTGGATTCACAAAGCTCGCATCTGAAAGTACTCCTTTACAGGTAGCATTCATTGTTTCAGTGTGTAGCTAGTATGTATTTTCTGATTAATTTTCAAATGACACAAAACAAAACCACTGTCAGCAACGTTCCTATAGAAGCTGAAAGCTTTCTTTACTTCTCTTTCTTTTCTTTTTTTTTTCTTTCCTTTCCTTTTCTTTCCTTTCCTTTTCTTTTCTTTTCTTTTCTTTTCTTTTCTTTTCTTTTCTTTTCTTTTCTTTTCTTTTCTTTTCTTTTCTTTTCTTTTCTTTTCTTATTCCTTTCTCTTTTTTGACAAGTACTAAACCTGGCCAGAGTTAAGGCTTGTTTTGGGATTCCCTCAATATTATCACTCAGATATTTAAGTGCTATTTTCTTGTATTGTCCTAATAGGTTGTCGATTTATTAAACGATTTGTACACTTGCTTTGACGAGATCATTGACATGCATGATGTATACAAGGTAAGATTCAAATTTTAATGCGTGAATTTCACGTTAAGTAATGGTAATAGGACTGAGTGGAGTCCAATTCGGTCTGTTATCATAAGAGTGATAGCAAAATCGGATGACCGCTCAGCGGGAGGCCGATTTGTTTATCACGAGTATGATTACAGACCGAATTGGACGACACGAAGTCTTATTACCAATTAATCATAAAAATTACAATTTCCGAGAAAAGAAGAATAGCCAAGTTATGAAAGAAAGGGAAAACTTGCATTAAAATATCTACAAAGGAGATGTAAACATTCTAAGGCCACCGCGCCTCCTACCGGCAATTAGGAGCCAAAAACACAAAAGCAAGCGCGCGCGCACGCGCACTTAACTACAACTTTGAATGTGATTGGCTTATTGAACTGTCCGGTAACAGACTGTCCAATAACAAACTGTCCGATAACAACTTGGCAAGTGAATTAGTGGAAAATAGGAGTTTTTTTAAACCAATCAATCGCGGAAATTGTAATTTTCATTCGGAAAAACATTCTTTCCTCAATGCGAAGCGTCAAGTAAGCTTTTCACCATAGCGGTAGACATGAAATTCGCCAGTCTGGAGCTTTTTTCGTCTTTTTTCTTGGTACGGCGTGCGTCAGGTTGTCTGGAATTTCCTACTACATGATGCAAGCAAATGCTCATTGGAACAAACTGCAAAAGTGCGTAAATGCTACACTTTGATGGCTATTATTGCAGTTTCCAGAGGTATGAAATACAGCCACAATGTCAATTCTACCTTGTATTGACATTTTCCACTTGTTTGGTGCCTTTTAGGGTAGGAGAGAAGAGGCGAGAACATTTGGCCTTTTCAAGGGAACAAAGCTCTAGACAATGAAATTATACTTTCTAGGTTGAATACAGGAATAATTTCCATCGCAAATAGGATTTCATTGATACGGAACAAACTTTTTGTCTACACAACCCTAGCAGTGCCCTTCGCGTGATGAGAAATCTTTATTTTTTCTCTCGTTTCAAATGAAGGTGGAGACAATTGGCGATGCCTACATGGTGGCTTCTGGATTGCCAAACAGAAATGGTATCAGACACGCTGGGGAGATCAGTAACATGTCTCTTGATCTGCTTTCAGCGATGACATCTTTTAAGATCAGGCATGTTCCAGGAAAGCAGCTGCAACTAAGAATTGGGATCCATACAGGTTGGTTCACATGCCTGTCAATACATGCATCTCACTGAACTTCTAGTTAGTTTTAGAAAAACCAAGTTCTGGACAAATAGTTAACACTGCTAACTGCTTAATGTTTTCAGGCCCTGTTGTTGCTGGGGTTGTAGGTCTCAAAATGCCGCGGTATTGTCTTTTTGGTGACACAGTTAACTATGCTAATCGAATGGAATCCTCTGGTTTGGGTAAGCGGTTGTTTGAATTTCTGAGCCATCTACCAGAAATCCATTTTGCATTTGACATTTCAGTGGACTAATTAAAAAGATATATATCACAATAACTGCCCGAAGAAAGATAAGCTTGATAAAGTGCAACTGTTGCCAAGGTTTAAAATAATATGGGATTGTTTGCTAACGGATTGATGCCATCAGATCATTGTAAGACTGAAAAAGAGTGGTAGTGTTGATCTACCAAAGAGGAAGTAATGGGAATGTTGGAAACTCTTGCCAGTCACCTTACAACACTGCCACTATGGACAAGCGCAATTTAGCTCACAACTCTTAGTTTTTTAAGTCCTAAATTAGGAATCACTGGTTGCTTGACTCTTTGTGAAAACGGTTTTTTGGCTTTTTCAACGAAAAAGGGCGCCTTTCTGAAAGCTCTTTCCGGCTGTTGCTTTTCCTCTGCGGTTTAGCCGTTAGGCTATGGTGTGTCGGTGATATGCAACCCCATTGATTAAAACGTTTTCAATCTTTCAGCTCTCTGCATTCACGTGAGCCCTGAATGCAGAGAAGTTCTTGAACAGCTTGGCGGGTATATCTTGGAAGAACGAGGATTTGTGGAAATGAAGGTGGGAAACTTTAGTAATTGTACTTCTCTTTCCGATGACCGCCTGTTCTTTCGTTTACCTGATTACTATAGTTTTATTGCAAACATCCAATTAACCAAGCTGTTTATTTAACTTCCAGGGCAAGGGGAGTATCCTAACTTATTTCTTAAAAGGACGAGAAGGTTTTGACAAGCCTCTTCCAGATCTAAGTCTACAAGCGGGCATGGAGGAGCACAGTTTTAAGTAACTGTCCTTAAGTGGTTTTATTTCTCAAGGCGAGACCTGCGTGTTTAGTGCAAATATAAACACTTTGAGGATATTTGGCCTTTGGAATTTTTTATCTCTACCACATAAACTGAAAAAAAACCCTGACTTATCTATTTAGTGCTTGATCTTTGAGGTTTGGTTTCTTAGGTGTCTTGTCCGTATTTTAGACAGAGAAAAAGTCAATTATGAACGCTATAACGCTATAGCTTTGATAGCCAGTTTTCGTTCTAGGTTTTTCCTAGTCTATGTCACTGTTTCTGCCTGTCGTCTTGGATTACTTTGGGAGAGTTTTTGCGAAAACTACACAGCTAAAAGGGAAAATATTTCCCGCCGCACGTCCGCGCTTCTTGGTCCCCCAAAATACTTCACTTGACTTACAGGCAGCCGGTCACTGAAAGTAGCGGGACGAGCGATAAATGCACACATGTCTACACCAGATAGAAAGACAGCTAAGTTTCAGTTTTTATTGCGCTCATTTTCTAAACCACTTGTTGGGTCCGTCGGAAGACAAAGTAAGCATGAAATGCACTTTCCTGGAAGTCACTGAGCTGAAGTTTGCTCGCATGACTTACATTCTCATTTCGCCGTTCTTGCCCGGCAATTTTAATTAACGGAGTACACGCCAATCTTAAGCTTTCGGTTGTTTGTATGTAAAGATCAAAGTTCCTTGGATCTAAAAAAGAAAATGGCAAAAGAGACTCGTTCTCTCGACTACGCCAACTTTCGCAGTTCTTCAAAAACTACACAGGAACTCGTTCACAGGGCCGTCCGCAACTGTCCCGTTCACTAAGATCATAGACATTCAGATTTTTTGGCCAGTCAGACTGGATTCGCAATTCTAGTTACGCTGGTTTGTACATCAATATCGAAGACTGAGTCAAAAACAGGCTAAGTTGGTCTAGGCTAATTAGCTTTTGTTTGGGTAAGATCCTAGCTCTCACGCAATATACTGAAAAGTAGACCCGTTCAGACCCGTTTAAGTTCATTGTTTAGTGTTTTGAGTCGCCGCTGCTTGTGGTCTTTCATATCTTTTGGCTTACATTCATAATTTATTTCACTACTAGATATAGTCACTTAGGCATTTAACTTTTACATTAATTGTATTTTGTGACAGGTTCTGTTTCGACATTAGAGAGGTAAAGCATGACGTTAACGGCAGACGGCAAACGGCGAAGATAACCTCTGATTTTGAGTTCTTTTCTTCTAATCTGTAAATAAAGCACACAAAAATGGAATAACGTCTCCTACTATTCATTGCAAATACAAAAATAATTTCACACTACTGTACACACAGCTGAAGAGAGAGGGAAAAAGTTTCATTTTTGCCGTTTGCCGTTTGCCGAAAACGTCATGCTTAACCTCTCTAATGTAAATGGATTTTTTTAAATACTTAAAAAAGGTTGTAAAAAATTGTGAATATTACAAAGTTTTAATAAACATTGGACTTTGAAGGAATGTTTATATATTCAAGTTCTCAAAGTCGCTATTCCCTTTTAGCCGATAGGGGCTTATTTTTAGCGCGAGGAAAAAATGGCCATGGACATGCTGGAGAGGCGAGATTCTAGCCGACTAAGATTTCACTAATTCAACGCTCGTTTTCTTCCCCAAAATAACCATTCGTTGATCTCTAACTAAAACCGTGCCGAGACACCATCGGCCAGAGAATGATTGCGAGAAAAATCTCCCAATTTTCATTCCTCCGATCCCCTCCCAGGCCCTACCGGCCTTCCTTGTGCCTTTTGTGTTTTCCCTATATTGATCTCGATCCTATGTGATCGTTTTACTCCAAAGTGTGCACTTGTCGGTCCGGGGATCGACCATGCACGCTTCAACTGCTCGATACTTGATGCCCAAAAGTTTGTCTGATGCTTTCTTAGTAAACAGGCCACGATGAACCTTGTGCATTCCGATTGAGTCTGTGATACACTCGGACCACTCGGGCAGCTTTATCGCTCCTGTTGCACACTTAACTTAGCTGGAGAAGTCGACTGGAGACAATTATTGGACACCCTGTCCATTGAATATTGATTAGGTAGTTGAACATTGATGGCTCCGGCATGATGTGTAAAACTGACGCCCGGCCGTTGATGAAAGGTTGAATGATGAAACATAGGCTCCTGGTTCAATAAAGCTTTTTCCTCTAACAAGACAGTTCGCTCAGTGATTTTTGCGCCTTGGCTTTCCCTTCTCCAAGAAATCTGACACGAGAGATTTAAAACCCTTTCAGTTTTTTTCTCTTCAAAAAAAACAGGATCATATATTTCTCTTTTTATCGTCATTATCGGTGAACAATTCCCTCACATCCACGACACTCACAGGGCCCAAACCAAACCTGCCAGAGATATTTAGTTTCTTTGCATTCATTTTCGAATTCACTAGACACACTCAGTTTATACTGAAAGTTTTCATTGTTGTTGTTTATAAAAGTTCTTGAACTGCCAGCTGGTTTCGAATTCCACGGGATCAACCGAGCAAGAGATCAAATTATGCTAAATATCAGGTCAGACGGTCCGATCAAAAGAGTGCGTAATGCATTCTGTGTCAATCAAACCCCTGGTATCTGACAGCCCATAATTTTGTAACTGTTCTTCCAGCTAAAGGCAAACTTGAGGATTTGGACGTGAAAACAAATGAACACTTATTGCGACCTACACAGGGAAAGTTTGGGCTCTGTTTGAAAGGCGTTATCAATGGACAGCATGTCCATTATAACGCAAGTTAACAAGGAAGATGAATCAGTGGAAGTGAGCCCGTATACGCAAGCTAAACGTAAGTACTTCTCGGGCTTCCATATTGCTCACTTGCTTCCAGTGCATGTCGTTCGAACGGCGCGAATTTCATGCACAGTTTTGTTTGCAATCCCGGCGAAATTCCGTCTGCAAAGAAGAAACCTTAGCCACCTCTTTTGAAACTCTCTTAATTTCTGTTTGCCTCAGACTGTCTTTTTGTGGTTAATTGAGTCAATGCAATCGTCAATCTAACATTTGATTTTAATTGAAGTTGGCCGCTTAGTTATGACGTTCGTAGATTTTGTTAACCTGAGATTATCTTCCTTCGCAGCGTGGTTACTAACGTTTGCTGCTCTGTATTGCAGTACCTGGTTCGATCTCCAAAAAGACCAAAAATCGGAACATATTTTCTTCGTTTTTCTGTTGTTTTGGCGCGCAATCGGCTGCAGCCGGTACCCCGTGTACAACTGTAACCCACACAAATCACAACCACAACGAGAATGAAAACTCGCTCAGCAGCGAAGAAAAAGATTCGAAGGTAAGTACTTCTGCACGTAGATAAGCATAAATGATATTTCCAAGTTATATTCTACAGGTGTTCGGTCTTATTTTTCCGCTGGTCGTTTCAAAGCAGCATAGTACTCTAAACAATCGCTCTACGTATACCATATCATGTATTTCCGCTGCTGTCTTTTCTTAGAAAACTCGAAGGTCGTTTTATGAGGAATGTAGTGAAGCGAGCATAATTGTTATTCTCGAATCACTGCGGAGCAGCTATGTCCAAGATTATGTGATCTTCTGCTTTGTTACCGATGTTAATGGTCTTTGCTAAAAAGTTTATTCTTTACCATTTTGGTGTAAATTTAATATCCAAATTAATAACATGCTCGAGGGTTTCGTGATGTTGACATTCCAGCTTGTCTGTTTCGGAGAAGAGGAACGTGCACCTTGATATTTAAAGGGCTTCATCTGCGATCTTCGCTCTTTTATCTTAAATCTACGCTTACTCTACTCTTCGAAATTTTTTTAAAGCGGTTACTCGGATAGGCATTAGTATTTTGTAAAAAATCGACGGATGGAGAGTAGAAACCCACCCGGTGGTAAAATACTAGGAAAGGAAGATCATCTTTTCCCGGTTCCTTGTCTCTAATTAACTTAACCCTCAGATGATTTCATACCCGCTTGGCGCACTTGTTTCGTGTCGATAGTTGAATCTGTTTCAAAAGGGAAATACTAATTAATTGTTCTTGTATTTCCGATGATGAGTTTACCGTATTCTTGGCTTCACTGGGATAAAACTAATATCAATCCTTCAGGGCTAGATACGCTGCGTGCATGTTTATGACAGCTAACTCTCAGAGCACAAAATCCAAAAGAAAACAAATTAAAAATTAAAAAGTGTCATCTTTGCTATACAAGACATACTCTGTAGTACCTTCTTGCTGCAGCAGATAGGAGAAGTTAGTGATCTCTTAATTCTATTTCCTGCTGTAGGAAATAGTTGAACTTTTTGTGACAAAAGGTGGCAAAATAGTGTACAAAAATTCGTGATTATTTTTATTGATAATTAGCGTGGGGTAAATCCGTGCTAAGTTGCATGCTAAGTACTTTTTTTTAGTCATCAATATTTGATGAGAATCTGTTGAAAATAAACAGTTATTAGGGTTATTAAAATAGTTCTATAGTTGATAAATTATGGATTTTCTAAGATTTGTATTCATGAAATATGTACTTTTAAATTCATGGAATGTTTTGAAGAAGTTAGGCCGCATGTTGATGAATATATTTCTGAAAATTAACTACGAACTGCATATATCAAGTTGATTTTTGTCATGAATTTTCCTTTTTTATTCATGTTTTTATTCTTCTACTCAAGCTCAAGCAAATAACAATGCTGGCTTGATTTGAAGCTGAAAATTAAACAATGTTCAAATTAATCCAAATAACTGTCGTGATATAACTGCTTGGTAACTAGTCAACTTTTAAACAAGCCCATTGTTTAAAAGCAAATTTGCTCTGGGAGCAATGATTGTTTATTATCAACAAGGACATCTACAATATTTACAGTTTTGCTGAATTCATGCTTTTTAATAACAGCTGATGGCCTCACACCAGGAAAGACGTGCAGGATCTCAGAGTAGTTTCAGTACAACTTAGAACATTAACTTTAAGGAGGTGGTGAGATTTTGTACTTTGTAGTTTCCTAACTGAACTGTTTGCTAATGACTGATTATTGTTTCATTTCTATTTGTTTGCAGCCCTGTAAATATCTCCTTCCTCCAGTCAGACATCAGGATATGCACAAAAAATGTATAGTGATAGATCTTGACGAGACACTGGTCCACAGTTCCTTTAAGGTATATACTTAAAACAAATGCAATTCAATTTTTTTAGAGTAGCTGAAGCTGGATTGAAAATCTAATGTAAAATGATCACGTGTTCCAGCTAATGGGGAAGTAATGAATTCATTAATGGAATTTGAGCTTATACTTTGTTTCACACTTCCATGTACATGTATCAAATGCAGAGTTCATTGTTCACAATTTTGATTGGATTGATGGCAACTAGCTTGACCTGTGTCAGGCACTTGTTTTCCTAATAATATTTTCTTTTAGAAGTAGAAAGGTCAACAACTTTTTACCCATTTTATTCATTAGCCATTCTTTTTCTTCTTTTTAAAATTTCACTTGCTAGTCGTGGCTTTTTTTTTGCTGGAAATGGAAGAGGTTATACAGTCAGTATAAGTGAGATACATGTATTTTTACTACTGGAAATTGAACACATTAAATCACAACTGAAGGTCAAGAATGTAAAAGTCTTCCAGAATCTTAGGGATTTTACTTGTGATTTCCAATGATATGGTCCTGTCTTCCGATTCTGCTGATGACTCATTCTTTAGACTAATAAACAATGACTCTTCCCCTCTCTAAACCAGTTAAAGAATAATCTACCAAATTTTTAAGGAGATAATGTTACCAATGTGTGCTTCCGTTTAAAAAATTGTATCTTAATTTATTGAAATTCTTCTGTAATATGCCAAAACTATTGCTGTCTGAGTGCCCAGCTGTTTTGGTAAAGTAAACAGAAAGTAATTTGCATGTCCTTGAAATGTTGCATTGAACAGTTGTTTATTCTATGAAATGTTCTAGGACTGTTCAACCTGTATGTTTGAAATTTGTGGAAAGGAAGTTCAAATTTCTCGTTAGACTCAGATATTGGCTCCTGTCTGACTTAAGTATAATATTATCTATTTGAGTTGTTTTTTCCCCTTTGGACACTGCCAGTTGTCTTTGGTAATACATTTGTTTTCTTGTGTAGCTGAATCAATATTTTTTTTAAGCAAGTGTACTAAGCCAGTAATAAAACATTAAGTATTCTGAAAAATATCCATACTCTCCCCACAGAATGTTTTTTTTTTAGGGTTTCGGCTCTCCTTGACTCCAGAAGTTCCAGTTCAGTTGCATTCTTTCTGTAAAATGTGTTTTTTAAATAAAACAATTGGCTTTTGATATCCCCCATCAGCTTGGAACAATTGGCTTCTGATATCCCCCATCAGCTTGGAATTTCCAATGACCTTCAGTGGAGTGGGTATGGATATTTTCTGGAGCCATGTAATGTTAAGAATTTCTTCCTTTTAAGACTTTGGGTTTGTTTGTGTCATACATATTGAAAGTGCACATATAATTTTGTTGATTCAGATCCAGGCTTCAGATGTTACTCATTGCTTTATTGCTACAGCTCTGTTTTGTATGACCAAGAATGACCACACTCATCAGGCAACATTAGCAAATGACCGTTAACTGACAATGCTGGCGATATAATGCAAATACAAATGTATGCATGTGCCAGTAACTAGTGCGCACAGTTTCGTTACGCACATGTTTCATTATTCAAAAGAACTTTTGTGTGAATCTATTTCTGTGGGGACATGATCTTGCCAATTCGTTTCTCATGTTTAGGCTGCATAGATCTTTTCTACAAATAATCAAAAACTTTTCTTGGAGGCACGGGTTGCACTTCTTGCTCACATTGTTGTATGGTTCACATGTTCTAAGAACCTTCCACCTAACATGAAACAACTTCTGTTTGTCTTTGAGACACCAGATGTGCTTCGAAAGTGCACATACATATAACCTGTATATCTAAAGTACAACTATGTTGTCTGACTTCCTTGTTGCAGCTTGGTTGAATTTTTATTCCTCACAGGACTGATCATTACTGATGATAAAAATGTTATTAGCAAACATTTCTTTCATGTTTGTTTGTTTTGTCATATTTCAGCCTGTTCATAATGCAGACTTTATTGTTCCTGTGGAAATCGACGGTACTATTCACCAGGTAAGTTATTATTTAGGGAAGTTGCTCCGACCATCAGTTTTCAAATGGCAACAAAAAGGAAACATTACCTTTAACTGTAAAATAATATTATGGTCCGCAATCAGTCTCAGCCATACCGTTTGAGGTAAACTGTTGACCAAATAGCTTTTAATTAGCACTATTACATGTATTTTTATACACTGTATGTCTTGTAAATAGCTTATCTTATCATCTATAATATATTATATTATATATCATTCTGGGAAGTGCTTCACATGGGTTACTACTCCCATCCCCTCCATGTTTTCCCTTTTGGGAGAAATTATTTTTTTCAAAAAAAGGGCTTCTAGGAATTTAATAATCCCTGGTCTTTGCCACTGTGTTGTGTTTCCTTTTTTGCCTGAGGATGGGAGAGGCTCACGTCAGGGCTTGCCTCTCATCATCCTGGTGTCAAATAAGAGCTCACAAGAGTATGATATTCTTGTTGTCTTTAATTCCTATTTCGAATGGACTTTATTTAAGGGCTCTCGTTCAATTTTGAATCACCTGTTGCCATCTTCACACCCATAACAAGTTCTTTTACTTTGTGGCTGAATTGTATCTGAACAACAGGCAAGCTCACCAATAATGTCAAGGGTCTGTCAAGCATACTCAGTCGCAACAGGTGTTATGGGTTACCACCCTTAATGACAGCCCTGATTGTTCTAACGTTGTTTAATTTTGTCAAGTTTGAATGTAATTTTCTTTATTTTCCAGGTGTATGTGTTGAAACGACCTCATGTTGACGAGTTTCTTCAAAGGATGGGAGAGTTGTTTGAATGTGTTCTTTTCACAGCTAGCTTAGCAAAGGTGAGACTTTACAAGTGTTTTTCCTTGCATTCAATAAATGAAGAATGATGTGTCTTAATGTACTGTGAATGGAACCTCTCAAGCTGATCAAGAAGTAAATTAAGAAAATTGTTAGTTGAAGGATGTCTTCTTAATGTTAGACCAAATTGTCGGAAGAGAGCTTAACAGGGTTTGAAGGAAGTGGTGTCTGGTCATCCAGGCCAAGTAACTTTTTTTTCCTGCTGGGCTTGCGAGTAACTTTTCATTCTCACTTTCATGATGGGTAATGGCGCAGGCAAGTCATCTGTNCTTAACGGGGTTTGAAGGAAGTGGTGTCTGGTCATCCTGGCCAAGTAACTTTTTTTTCCTGCTGGGCTTGTGAGTAACTTTTCATTCTCACTTTCATGATGGGTAATGGCGCAGGCAAGTCATCTGTCAACTAAATAAAAAATAATAAACTAAGACTTACCCAGGACGAACAAAATTTGTGAGCTGCTTCTCCAAAGGGCAAATGGGATTCTAATCTCTGTTAGAAGTCTAAGCGTTCACCCTCAAAGCCTAGGATCTAGTGAGGGTGTTGTATATATGCTTAAAATATAATGGCAGCAAGTTTTCCTGGTTTTCTAAAGAACCCTGCAACTAAAATCTGAATCTTAGGTCAGTGGCCCTAGGCCTTCGATGTGTTTTAAAATGTTTAATGTTTTCTCTATAATTTGTAAATAAATGTTAGTAGTGCTTTCAAAGAGGCCAGAGTTATAAGACATGTCAGCTACAAATTATCCATGCTGTATCACTGTAGGGCAAAAATTAATACAGCTGTGTATATTTTAGTATGCAGACCCAGTGGCCGACTTGCTGGACAAGTATGGATCGTTCCGTGCCAGACTCTTCAGGGAGTCCTGTGTGTTCCATAGGGGAAATTATGTCAAGGTAAAATAAGGAAGTTAATCTCTGTGTTCGTGGCCATGTGGCCCATCAGGTCGATGCTTATCTCCAGTTTCTGTAGCATGAAAAGACCAAGAGTTTTCCTACTCCCTCTGGATGTGATTCTAGTCAATCGCAGGGTTACCCCAGTATTTATTTCACTGGTACATGTTTATATATACCGATACACCTGGGTGGAGAGAGGAACTGTGAGAGGCAAGTGTCTTGCCCAAGACCACAACACCTCACACCCAGCCAGGGCTTGAACTTCTGTGACGACTTGATCCAGTCTCGTACATTAACCTTCAGGGCTCAGCATCTTCCACAAGATGAGGATAATTATTAATTTTATAATCCCTTGGCCTTGGATGTTTGTATGCAATTTTGCAATGAAACCTGCAGATATATATATTTGTTTACTTTGACATGTTTGTTTGTTTGTTTGCAGAGATATTTTTGTTTGTTTTTGCATAATTTAAGTAATTTTCACTGCTGGCTGACTTTGTGGAATGGCTTATGTTTTGCAGGATCTAAGTAAACTAGGAAGAGATTTAAAGCATGTTCTTATTGTGGATAATTCACCTGCGTCATATAGTTTTCATCCTGAGAATGCAGTAAGTGATGACATCTTTTTGCTGTCAAGTTACTTTATGGAGCATTCTGCTTTATTAAGCCAGTTAGTTATATAAATTTCGTGCTGTTTTGCTTTCTCACAGCTAAGATGTTGAAGAAACGAACGAGACTATTCACTGGCAAATAAACTACTAATACTTGGAGTGATTTTCAATTGAGTGTCGTAAAACCAAAACCAAACCAATAACTTACCAAAAAGACTACTCAGCCATTCTCAAAGCCTAGTAGCACCAAAACCAAAACCAAAGTAATTGCCTGATTACTTTCGACACTGAAATGAAAACAGCTCCAAGCCATACTGGATTATAACAATATGATTCATTTTCCAAGACCCTCTCTATGATTGAAGTGAGTCAGGTAGTTGGGTAAAGAAAAGTGAAAAGATGTCAAAACGTAGCATTGTACTTGTGGAAATTGACTGAAACCAGGAGCTTCCCTGTAACTGAAATTTTATAATAAGACTACATGTCACTTAAAAAAGGGCTTTGAAGATATTTACAACTTACAGTGGTCACTGGTTGTGTTAAACTGTTAAAGGAATCACAGCTGTAAAATGAATCAGGTAAGGGGGCAGGCAGTGAAGCTGGGTCAGTTAGGGAAATATGGGAAATGAAACAATTATTTTGTTGGGTTGGCCGTAACCAGCCAATCAGACAATGTGATATATATTTACTGTCATCTAATGCTTAATGAACATTGTGTTTGTCGTCAGGTTCCAGTTGCATCATGGTTTGATGACTTTTCTGACATGGAACTTTTAGACTTGATTCCCTTCCTCGAAACATTGAATGAAGTTGATGATGTCTGTGCATTTTTGAGAAGTGCTAACATGAACATCCTGAAAGGCAGATGCGATTCACTGGAAATCCGTAGCTGAATGACAGTGTAATTAATTTTAAGGTTTTTAAACTAAAGGCTTTAATTAATTTACATTTTTCTCTTTTATATTGAGACACTAGACAAACTGAAAGTATTGTTAGTTAGCACTCTTATTGATAATTTTTATCGGTATTAGTGCACATCATGAGGTGAGATTTGGGTCTCCTGTGTGGTGTGCACAATATTTTTAATAAGATCCACTTACTGAGCTAACTACAACCAATGCACAAATAACATTATCACAAAACATATTGCTTTGTATACATTTTCACAGTTGATTTTACCTTCTTCATAAGGGAAGTAAGGATTTTTCAAATTAGTTTCTTTTCTTGTTATAAAGAAATTTTCTCTCTGTAGAATGTTATTATTCATTTTTGTGAATCAAATTCATAAATGGA